ATATTAGCCCTTTGTGGGCACCAGTACATTTTTAAGAGTGTGGTGAAATGTTTTAATAATAGATCTTTTATTGAGGTCAAGGTAGAATGCTTGATTGGAGCGGGCTGCGGGGTTGGGGGAGGGATCCGATGCTGCCCACCCCCTTTTCTATGCAGTATACATCCAGAACTATATAGTATCTGAGGGTGTGAAAATGTCCTAAGCACAGCCTTGGGTTCACAGACAGTGGTGTTTAGCCTGGAGGGGCTACCTGGCTCAACCCCACAGAGCTGGCTACCTGCAGGGCTGGGGCCTGAGCTCCAGCACCACTTTTTTTTTTTTTTTTTTTTTTAAAGATTTTATTTACTTATTTGACAGAGAGAGAGAGACAACGAGAGAGGGAACACCAGCAGGGGGAGGGGGAGAGGGAGAAGCAGGCTCCCCGCAGAGCAGGGAGCCCGATGTGGGGCTCGATCCCAGGACCCTGGGATCATGACCTGAGCCGAAGGCAGATGCTTAACCCACTGAACCACCCAGGCGCCCTCCAGCACCACTTTGAATTGCCTGGGCTTCTGTGTCTTTTTTCCCAGGCTTCCAAAGCCTCCCTGTAGGCATTTGGTGCCTAGATGAGTGTTTTTATAGAAGCCACTCTACTAGAAAGCAAAATCTATTTGAAAGCTGTTACAGGTTTTTCCAGAAGTTCCAGTTTTTCAAAATGCGCCTGTTCCCTTTGTCCCCAGCAATTAACATTTGAATTTTCCAGTCTCCTGCAGCTTCCTTTGTACTTCCCTAGTACTATGTACTGTGGGGTCCAAAGGGATGTTCCGCTGGGGGGGATTTAGTTCCTTGGGCAAGGGCGGTGGAGCCCTTCCCCTGACCTGGGGCCAGGCTCCCCAGGAGAGCTCCTTCTCCACCCTCATTCTGCGAGAAGTAGCAGCAGGTCACTTAGGATGTGGATTCTCTCCACCTCTCAAAGGTTCTTTCATATAAATATGTTCATACATTCTCCTGCTGCTCTTTTTCCTGAAAGAGTGAAGTTCGAGGCTTCAGTTGCTAAATTTAGCTCTTGCTGACGCACTGGCTGTCTCCTAGCAGTCTCCTCATGTCAGTAGTGTTGCTCTTACCCTCACTCTTGTGCTGGTAGACGAACACCGTCACATCCCACATACTACTTAGCTCTGAGGCGTTTCCAGATGGGAAATGCATTTCTGTATTTTCATAGCTGTGTTCTCTGCGTGAATGGACTGTCGTGAAGCCAGGGGCTGGCAGCCAGCCCGTGAGAGACAAAGATCCCCAGGCTGGTGACGGGAAAACCAATGCAGTTGTTGCTATAGGTTTGCTTGCGGTCAGGAAGAGAGAGAGGAGGCTCTTGGAGGAGATCTGGGGGTGCTATTTGACTGGGATGTGAATGGAGAATTTTCACGAAGGGGAAGCCTTCTCCCTTGAAGCAAGCCTTAGTATATTGTTGAAGAAAATTATTCTGACACTGGTTACAATAAGGCAGATTTTATTCAGGGCTCTCACAAAAAGGGTATTGCAGGAGGAAAGAGAGCTGGGGCTCAGCTCTGAATACAACAAGGACAAGTGGGGATTGCTCGCCAAAGAACAGAATGAGAGGCTCAGTGGATGCAGAATGGCTAAGAGGAGATCTCAAGGGTAGGGAGGACTTAACACATCGAAGTAGGGGATCCTCTCTAAACCAGTGGAGCAGATTCTGGCCAAGACTGGGCTGTGCAGGCCCGGAGGGATGAGGGGCAAGTCGAGGCCTGGTGGTGAAGAGGGGTCAGAGAAGCCTGACTCAAGTTTGATCAAGAAGAGATTTTGGTCTGTCCCTCCTGTGTTCAAGGACAGAAAGAGACCCCATTCTTTCCTTAGAATGATCTAAGTTCATTTCTTGTTCCATTGCCTTTTGTTCATTGAGTATCAGCAGAGCCATCTGTTGGGCCTTGTGATAGAGGACATTTGCTGGATGGTGCAAACTGTTGAACAGAGGGGGACTCAGGGTCTGCAGTGGCGAGGAGTCCTTTGAAGTTTTTATCAGGTCGTCCAGCTTCAGCCTGCCGGGCTTCTTTAGATCTTGGCAGGGAGGGTGGGCTACGACCCCCCTGGAGTTCCATGAGGAAGTCAGTAGTCAGGTTGTAGTTCTCAGTGAAGCCAGGTCAGGAGAATGGGAGAAAAATGGGAAACAACAATTGAGAACTTGCTGAGGAGTGAGAAAATGTGCAAGATGGCAGGATGTAGTCCAGTTGACAGGTAGGTAACAAAATAAAAAGTCATTTTACTAAGAGGTGATAAATAGCTCAAGGACAGTGAACCAGACCAGAATTTGATACCCACAGGACTGTGCCATAGTTTCCTATTGAAAGGTAAAATTTCTACAGTGTCTAGCACTGGTCCCTGAGTGGGTATGTTGAAGCGTCAGCATGGAAGGTAGCCTGGTGTCAGGCAGGCCTGGGTTCAAATCCCTGCCCCAGCTGTGAGATGTTGAGCACATTGGTTTAATAAATTCTGTAATTTGTCCATGGGTGATACTGACATGCAACGAGAGATGAGAGCTCATGTACTTAAATGGGTTTGGCACTTAGTCGGTGCTGGTGGACCGTGTGCACTGTGCTCTCTTGGTGGGGCAGGGCTCTCCTGTGAGGCAGAGAGGGAGCCTCTGATCCAGACCTCAGTGACCACTAGGCAGGACCCAGCTGGGAGAAGTGCGAGGCTTGCTGTGGCCAATAGAGACTTGGTCCCGAGATGCTTCTCTCTCTCTCTCTTTTTTTTAATAAAGGTTTTTATTTATTTATTTTGACACAGAGAGGGAGAGAGCACAAGTAGGCAGAGCGGCAGGCAGAGCGGCAGGCAGAGGGAGGGAGCCTGATATGGGGCTCAATCCCAGGACCCTGGGATCACGACCTGAGCTGGAGGGAGATGCTTAACCGACTGAGCCACCCAGGCGCCCCCCCACCCCCCGAGATACTTCTCACTGGCTGTGCAGTGTTTGCTGTGCACCTGATGGGTGTTTTGGTCACACTTCCCATCTCAGGTAGGTATCCTTCACCCTACTGTGCAGATGGAATTGAAGCTTTGAGAAGGTAACTACCTGCTCTAAAACACACAGGAAGTGTCAAGGCAGGGATTTGAGCCCAGGCCAGTCTGGCCCAGAGCCCAGGCCCTCTGCCCTGTCGGGCACTGTTGGTGACCAGGGAGGCAGAGTCACAGTAGGGGAGAATGTTTGGGGCAGTGCTGAGGCACAGGGATATAGTGGGTAATGGCATGGCCTTTGGAATCAGACAGACTGGGGTTCAAATCCTGACAATGATAGTACTTAGCTGTGTGAGCATGGGAAGTGACTTAACCTCTGTGATCTTTGGTTCTTCCTCTGTAAAATGAGGGAGCTGTAACTATTCCAAGGGAGTGTGTGAGGATGTCATGAGAGAAGGTCTGCAGAACCTTGGCACAGGCCCTGGGGGCGATGAGCATTCAGTCAGTGGTGGCAGCTGTCGTTTATATGGGGGTTGCTGGGCCCTTTCTCATTCACTTGATCTCCTTGTTGGTCCTTGGGAAGGGCAGACTCTAGAGGGCAAGTCAGTCAGACATAGGAGTGACCTTTGGTGTTGCTTGTTAGTCCTGGCATGTGTTGCTGGGAGCTGTTTATCAGAAACGTAACCACTGAAGATTGGCAGGACAAGGAGAAGACTGGCTGGGTACGGCGTTCCCAGAGTGGTTCCAATTCCACTCTTCCTAGTGATGGGCCAAAAGGAGAGACCAGAATAGGGGCTCATTTGGGCCTAGTGGGACCTCCTGAGGGAACCCAGCCTGGCAGACGTGGGCAGGGTCCAGAGTTCCTGCTGGAGCAGGAGGGACTCTCAATGTCCCGACCTTCTATCTGTGGCTCATTAATAATTTGTTGATTCTGGCACCGTTTTAGGTTCAGAGGTTACAGTGACACACAAACAAACTCACAGGGGTCATATTCTAGTGGGGAGGACAGACAGGAAACATGTAAGCACATAGATTTGAATGCAGTCTTGGGGAATGAAGAACAATAAAGCAGTGGAATGGGATAGAGGAGTGTTTTGGGGTGACCAGGAAGGGGACACGTAAGCAGAGACCCTGGTGAAGTAAGGGTGCCAATCATGAGAATGTTGTAGGGGGCATTCCAGGCAGAGGCCCCCCGGGGGGTGGAACTGACCCGGGTACAGCAAGAAGGCCCACGGGAGTGGGGGGAGGCAGAGGTGGGAAATGAGGTCAGGCTGGAAGCTACCAGATGCCACTGGCCTTCTCAGCATTTGCGGTAATCACTATTTCCAGATCTCAGGGAGGAGTTAGCCGCTCCTTTCCCCGTCTGCACCACGGGTGCACAAGGCTCTTGTGGCAGTCCGCACACAGGGTAGGGCTGTTGGTCTGTTGTATCCCCAGACCGTGAGCTCCTCGGGCCAGGGACGTGTCTGTCGTGCTTATACCCAACACCTCGCGTGGAACACGGGCTTTGCACGTTGAACAACGAATTCGGGTGATGACGGTGCTGTCGGACGCGGTTTCTCTGTGCCCGTCGCTGCGGTAAGCACTTGATGCTTCGTCCCCCCGTTCGGTCAGTAGCCCCCTCCCCAGGTATTGTCCCGGGTTCATCCCCAGAGGATCCACGCCGAGCACCTCCTGCGCTGGGACAGAAGTCAGGGGTGGAGGTGCGGTGCGTTCAACCACGAGGACGCCTGAGCGCTGGCTGCAGGCGGGGGGCCGAGGTGAGGGGGCGCCTGCGAGCGCGCTGCCGGGGGACGTGGTGTGCGTGCGTGGCTCAGGGGCCTGGCAGCGCTCCGTCTTCTCGGTCGCTGAGGGGACACGCTGACCCCTGCCTGCTTGGAGCCTCCCAAGGGGCCTGTGGGGTAGCCCTCAGACCTCCTCTCGGCTTCCTAATCCACAAATGGAAAAGTGGCACTTAAAAGGAATTTATTCAGGTGGGAACTGTGTAAGACATGGAAATAAGGCTTTTGAGCTGCTGCACATAAACTGGAGGGTAAATGAAAAGCTTTTTATTTGGTTTCGGAGCCAGACTTCGAGAAGCCAGTGGGCCGTGTGGTCTGGAAGCGCACGTTGCGGGCAGCGGGCCGGAACAGGGGCCACCTGGAATGGCGGGGAGGGGGAATCGCTCTTGCGCCGGAACGGCCAAGCGGCCAGGACGTCAACACACACCGTCGGGGCCCAGAAAGTCTTTTCCGAAAAGGTGGAAAGCGGGGGCGAGGAAGAAAGGCAGTGCCTCCCTCCCGGCGTATTTGAGAAGGAAAACGCTTGCGGTAACCCATGTTGGCAGTTTTTATAGCTTCCTCCCCGCAATGCGCCGGGCAGACCCTGAACAGGCCGGTGTTTTGTTTTCCTGTAACGAAGCCCAGTGGATCAGGGGCAGCTCCCCAGCAGTGGCTCGCCTGGGGCTCCGCCGGTGGAGCGAGGCCGGAGTGCTGGGTGCAGCTCTGCGACCTCCTGCCTGCCGGCTGAGCCCCCGCGAAGGCGGGGGCTGGATTCCCGGCCTCCTCTGGACGCTCGAGTTCGCCTGGTCGCCGTCCTTCAGCGGCAGGTCCTCCATGGCCGCTGCGGAAGAAGGAGGCGGCAGGCGGGCTGGGAAGGCAGCCACTCTGGGGAAGAAGGCGCGGATCTACACTGTCAAGGGTTGCTGCTTGGGGACTGCAGGGGGACCATAGCACAGGGCGCCCACAGAACGCTCTTTGTGCCTTGGGTTGCCGCTTGCCAGGGCACTTTCCATGACTAGCTTTAACCTGCATTTATAATCTCTTCTCTTTGGTAGTAAGTGCATATGTGTGCGTGTGAGATAAATTGGGACATTGGATTCCCTGCGTGGTTAAAAATACGTATCTGTGACATTGGCGACCTGCACCGGCATGTGTTTTGAGAGCCACGGACAAGGGGAGACGCCCAGCTAGCTGCTCTGACATACTAGGAAGCTCGGGAACCATCTCTGAGGTGAGGGTACGATCTGCTGTTTGATGTTCTTGTTATAGACGCCGTCTCCCTGTTTTCTTTCAGGTGATTATATGGAAACCAGATAGGTATCTTAAAAAATTTTTTTTTTGAAATTTTATTATGTTATGTTAGTCACCATACAGTACATCATTAGTTTTTGATGTAGTATTCCATGATTCATTGTTTGCATATGACACCCAGTGCTCCATGCAGTACATGCCCTCTTTAATACCCATCACCAGGCTAACCCATCCCCCACCCCCCTTCCCTCTAGAACCCTCATATCTTAAAAAAAATTTTTTTTTTTAAAGATTTTATTTATTTATTTGAGACAGAGAGAATGAGAGAGAGAGAGCACATGAGAGGGGGGAGGGTCAGAGGGAGAAACAAGCTCCTTGCTGAGCAGGGAGCCCGATGCGGGACTCGATCCAGGGACTCCAGGATCATGACCTGAGCCGAAGGCAGTCGCTTAACCAACTGAGCCACCCAGGTGCCCTAAAGATCTTTTATCCTAAGAATTTCAGGTTTGTTCTTTAACCTGTATTAATTATGGAAAAATTAGAACATAGCAAAAATAAGGAGACCCAAGTCCTTTGCATTCCTGGCATTCGGGGTAGTTGCTGCTGCTTATTGGTGTTTATGTTCTTCGAGACTCTTTCCTGATGAGCATATCTTAATATAAAATAAAATCTAATAAGTGATGATGGCTTACATTTGAACGTTACTATTTGCCAGCACTTTACATGTATAGACTAATTTAATCCTCAAGAATCCATTTGGTTTTTATTATTGAACCCGTTGTATGGATGAGAAAGCCGAGGCCCAGAATGATTAGGTACCTTAAGATCCCATGGGTAAGTAGCCAAGCTGGGATCTGAACCCCGGCAATGTGGTTCCATAGCGTGTGCTCTTGGGTACACACTATACTGATTTGCAAAAGAAAAGGATGGGGGCGCCTGGCTGGCTTTGTCAGTACAGCATGTGACTCTTGATCCTGGGGTTGTAAGTTCAAGCCCCACACTGGGTGTAGAGATACTTAAAAATAAAATCTTAAAAAAAAAAAAAAAAAGAATAGGATAAAACTATTCATAACAAATTTTAACTTGCTTTTTTACACTTAATATGTTATGAATCCCTTTTGATGTCAATAGCTACATTCAGAGCACCTTTCAAAATGGGCAAGCTGTGGCGCAAGCAGTGCAAAAATGGAATGCTATTTTCTTATGTGGCCATTCTAGGTAATAATAATTATTGTATTTAAACATAGCAGACATCAGGGACGCCTGTGTGGCTCAGTCAGTTAAGCGTCTAACTCTTGATTTTGGCTCTGGTCATGATCTCAGGGTTGTGAGATCGAGCCCTGGCTCTGTGCAGGGCATGGAGCTTGCTTCAGATTGTGTATCTCTCCCTTTCTCTTTGCCCCTCCCCTCTGCTCGGGCACGTGCGCTCTCTCTCTTTCTCCCTCTCTAAAATAAATAAATCTGTAAAATAAATAAATAAGCTGACGTCAAGGCTCTGTGCCTCATGCTGTGCTGAGAGCTGTATGTGTATTATCTATTTTTAGCCTCATATAACTAGGGCTTCTTGGGGGGGAACAAGTTAGGATCAGGTGTAGATTTTCCAGGTTGTATCTCATTTCCATTAAGCTTCAAATTAGGTTTTTGTTTTTAACTAGCCTCCATGCCCAAAATGGGGCTTGAACTCAAGACCCTGAGATCAAGAGTCACATACTCTACTGACTGAGTCAGCCAGGTACCCCTCAAATTTAGATTTTTGACTTTATCTTCAAATAAGGTTATATATACAGTAATATTATTTTTGTGTGTTAATTTTAAAAACAACTTGTTATTTTGAAATAGTTTGACTCAGAGGAAGTTGCAAAAATAGTACAGAAAATTTCTGTGTATTCTTCACCCTGCTTCCCCCAATGATAATATCTTCCATAACTGTAGTACACTGTTAGAACCAGGAAACTGATGTTAGCATTTCCTATTAACTCAGGTTCTCCGTTTGTTATTAAAGTTAAATTGTTTTATAAAAAATAAACACAAAATACACGACAATTGATAATCTAGTTTGGTAGTTCTTTGTTGTTAAATATATAGGAGTCTCTAAGTGGTGGAGTCTGGGGCCTCTCTCCTGCCTCACAGAGGTGAATAGTGTTATTAGCTCCATTCAACAGGTAAGGGATGAGGGTCAGAGAGGGTAAGTCACTTGCATGAAGTCACACAGCTATAGTGAGCTTCAGAGCTGGGACTTAACCCCTCTGATTCTAAGATCCACTCTTGAGCCCCCACACTTCCCAGCATCTCTTCTGATTTGCTGGCTTTTTGGGGCAAGGCTCTGAATATAAGTAGGTGTATTTACATGAATCCATGCACGTGTAGATTTTTCCCCACTCTCCAGAGCTCCTTCTCTGAGACTAGAGAATGCCAGAGCTGAAGAGGACCTTGAGTGGGGCATTAGCCCAACGCCTCATTTAATAGAGAGCAGTTGCACCAGCGCAGGGGCCCATGTGCTGTGTCTCGAGTTGGCCCAGACCCCGGGACTACAGGCCACCTTCTTCCATAAACCCAGTCATTTTGTTGGTCTCCTTTGAGACTCTCCTCCAGTTGCTCATTTCCACATTTGCTGACTTACAGCCGCCTGGCTGTCAGCTTGCTCTGTTCCTTCCTGGAGGTGCTTGGGGAGCCTGAGCAGTAGTGGGCTGTGTTTCGCTTCCTGAACTTGTCCACCCTGCCCCTCTTCTCCCACCTGCCTGCCCAGTGCCTCTCTGCCCGTGCCTGGGACTCCAATGAAGAGCAAAAGCCATTTGTGTAGGAAAGATGCAGGAAACAAGATTTCTGTAAAGTCCTGTCCATGGGAAAAGATTTTTACCCCCATCCCAGTCAGTCCCCCTTTTACTTTACTGCCTTCTTTCCTACCTTCACTCAGAACTTGAGCTGCCAGTGCAATCCACTTCTGTAACCCAGAAAGCAGACAAAGCCCACCCCCTTGCCTTCCCAGCCACAGCCGTGGCCTGTCACTCAAGCGAAGACTATGTGTGAACTTTATCATTCCTGTTAAAGAAATCAAGGACTTGTCTAGTTGACCCCTGCAGTAACTCTGCCCAAACTTTTATTGAATTTTATGGATAGAACCATGGGAATGCAGATAGGATTATTCCAGACTTTCCACCCACCCCACTTCAGAAGTCCCTGGTGTGCCTTCCATTCTCGTTGACTTGATGTGTGTGTGTGTGCATGTGCACGTGAGCACACGTGACATGAACCTTTGTAGGCATGAGAGAGCATCTGGTGGCCCGCATGGATCTCCTGAGCAGTTGGGACCAAGCCCTCATTGCTGAAGCTTTTAGCCACTTCCGGTGGAGAAATGCTCCTGGGCCCTGGGCTGTACCTGGGAGGGGCCAGGATGGAAGGTGATGCACTCAGCGGAGTGCTGCCTGAAACTGCTGCAAGAGCTGGTCTTCAAGTGAAGCGGGGCTTGCTGAGTGGCATCACCCTCCTCACATCATTACATGCTGGGGCCTGTCGGGTGCTATCCTCACAGCCACACAGAGAGACCGTATTTCCTCACTGGAAGCCCCTCCAGCCTGAGAGGAGGGAAGGAAGAGGAGATTACCTTGCCTCACCGTTGGACCTGCCCAAAGCTCAGTATGCGGTTGAGACCTCGGGTATTCAGGGGTGGGCTACTGAGAGAACATTCCTGGCCAACAGGTGCCTGCCAGGGAAGGTCTTTGTGAAGGGTAACTAAGTGATAGAAAACAATGGCATTTCACTTGGCCTGGTTTTGGAAGTAGATTCCAGCATTTTTTTTTTTTTTTTTGAGATTTTATTTATTTGACAAAGAGAGAGCAGGAGAGCACAGGCAGGGTGAGTGGCAGAGGGAGGGGGAGTGGGAGAGGGAGAAGCAGGCTTCCTGCTGAGCAGGGAGCCCGACTCGGGGCTCGATCCCAGGACCCTGGGATCCTGACCTGAGCCAAAGGCAGACGCTTAACCAACTGAGCCACCCAGGCACCCCAGATTCCAGCATTTTAATATTCATTCATCCTTCCCACTTTGTAGCATGCAAAGTGTAATACAAATGTGAATAAGACAGTCTCTGTCTTAAGGGAACCTGTTAGAAAGGCAGAATCCCAGGGCTCATCCCAGCTTACTGAAGCAGAGTCGGCATTGTCACAGGTCTATATTGTCTCCAGGTCCCCTGGTGCTTCGCATGCCCGTTCGAGTCCGCATGTTCTGCCCCTCCTGATTACTCCACCTGTAACATACATCACTCGTTGACCAAATAATTGTTCCACTAACTACATATTTGAGTTGGCACCTGTGATGAAATCTCTTTGTCATCCCTGTTAGAGTAGGATGGAATTCAATAAGAAATAATTTCAGTACAGTGTGATAAGCCTGCTAAGTGAGGTATAGGCTATGGGCTACAGAACTTTTTCATTCTCTTGATAAATTTTTGCTGTATACCGTGTACCTGGGGCTCTGCTAGCAGAGGGGTGTGGTGTAAGGTCAGACAAGCTTCCTGCCCTAAGGGGAGGGTGGATGATAAGCAGTAAAGAAACATACAAACAAGGTAACTACCCATGGTGATAAAATGCTTTGCAG